GACCCAAGACTAACCCCTTCCACAACATTTGGAACATAATGCAGAATAACCATGTTGAAAGTCATGATGATGATGTGCAATAAACAAGGTATGCATTACAATGAATCTTTTTGACTTCACAACAAACATTGACCCCAAATAGTGAAAAGGCTAGGCTGACACAAAAAAAAAACCCTCATATTTTCTATTTAAAACAAAACTCTTTGATGCAGCAGCCAGATGCATACTTGTCCTTGAAACATAAAACAGATGTCTTCCAATATAGCTTCTGGTGCTCTAACCAACAAACAATACCATATATCTCACAGTATGCACAGCATGGAATGTCACTCATTTGAAATTGTGATATTGAACACCGATGACAATGCATTTTCAATATAATGTCCTATCCCAATAGGTACATCCATTTTCTTTTTATCAGTTCAATTAGTATGTTTATTTTATTTTGTGTGATGTGAACCTATATTTAAAATCTTCCAGACTTTTGTACAGTCAAGGCATTAGAGTGCAGATATCACAAGCACTGTCCTAAAGTACAGTGCTTTTTTTTTTTGCTTATAAGAGCAAAATTTAGATACAAGATTTGAAAATGTAAAATTTAGAATAAGTAGCAAAAGGTAAATATGCGTAAATATATTCGACTACAGTTTAGTCAGATGGGAAGAATTGTTTATTTGGATGACTTCAACCAGTGGTCCAATCAGTGTGCAGACTCTTTAATTAGTAACGTTAAAGAGTTACAACTTCTCAAAAACTACAAATGCAAAAAAATGTTTGTAAACTGACACACTAAACAGAAAGTCCTACTAGAAACAAATGTTCTGCTTTATTGTGCATTATTAAATACCAAAACTAACCAAGTGTCAAACAATATTACAGAAACAAATGTATTATACCCATTTACAAAACAGCGGAAACCCTGACTTTTTTTAAATCGCAATTAAAAACACCTGTTTAGAATTGTTTTTGAAATGTAATATGTAACAATGTATTGTCTATTATATGTTGCATGACTTTGTGTTCTTGTGTTTATGATGTAAAGCACTTTGAAATGCCTTGCTGAAATGTGCTATACAAATAAAATTTGATCGATTGATTGATTAATTATAAAGCAATAGAAGTAAAAAATTTATACTGATTGTTTTTTTTTACCTACCTGCTTTACCAGCTCCAGGGAGAGCTACCAGCAATTTTGAAAACATAGTTTAACAACCATAAAGGTGTCATTAGTGTGATGATAATAAATTGAATAAGAATTAAAGCAGAAATATATGCCTGCAAATGAATTTGGCTGGAGTTCAGGTTGTATATAGGTGTCCCCTATATACTCTTTATATCTTCCCCATGAAGATATAAAGAGTGACTGATTTAAACCATCATGAACATTCTGTGCCTAACAACATTTCCTTTAAAGGCTGAGAAAGCCACAACTGTCACTGAGGGAGTTGGTGCTCAGATCTTCTACAGGAAAAATACAAGAGAGGAGGGCAGGAGAAACAGTGGAACAGAGTGGAAAATTGGTAGAAAAAGATGGAGAGAGTGAGAGAAACTGTGTTTGTATGTGTTAGCATGCATGTGCATGCATGAGTGTGTGGGTGGCAAAGTGACAGGCGATGATTAGCACAACCAGCGGAGTATATGTGGGCGGGAGAGTGTGGGAGTAGTGGGACTGGTGGGAGAAATACAGACTGTCTCTTAAGGCTGAGATATATACAAGTGGATTCTAGGAGCACTCAAACAAATAGTTGAAGACACGTGGTTTATGCACAGAAAACGCACATAAACACCATTATTCATGACAAGCATGAACTACAGTTCGGCAGGATGGATTCCAGTTGGAACACATAAGGCTTGGATGTTGAGTTGAGAATAACCAGCAGAAAAAATTGGTTCACAAGGTAATTCAAGTCCTCGCTTTATGTGTGTCAATGACTAGTAAACAAAAGTAATGGATGAGAAGTGAAGGAGGAGTTGAAAAGCAGCTGGCGACTCTGAGGTGTGTAGGTGGGACCATTTGTGGTCTGTTTCTTACAGAGCTGCTGTGGCATTAACAAGCTTTTAAAAATAGGTGCAACAAGGGTGCAATATTTTAAATCCAGCTTTATTTGTGAACATGTATAAATGTGAAACAAAGGATGTTTACTTTAAGCAATCAGTTGTTTCGAACCATACAATAATCATGTGAATGATGAAGCTAAACAGACAATATGGGTCATTATGGAGGTAAATTAATTTAGGTTCATATTACATCTGTAAAACTTGAAAATATTCACTTGGTAAAGAAATAAAGTGAGAGCTAAGGCAACCTTAATATATCCTCTTTGAAAACATGTACCTTTTGGATTCGTTCTCAAGTCTGAAATGTCAATTTTTTTAGTTGGATTTTGATATTTTCCTCTAATCTGGGAATCTCTCTTTACCCTCCTGTCAGTCAACCAGGAAACTGAGCTATATCCTAACAGGAGGTCATGATGATGCAGCTGACCTCTGGGTGGAGGCTACAAAAAGTCCTACGCTAGTGACTGGAAAATAAAATACCAACTTTTCCCCTGGGATACAGTCTACCGTGTAGAGAACTGTTGGCTTTAGGCAGTGCATTGTACAAGTGATGGAAAGGGGCAAATCACAAACCTTACAACTTCTATTTTCTGTTTTTCAAACTGCAGACTATGAGACCTCAGCTTCTCCTAAAGATAACAATACCTTGATTTTTGTAATGGATTGCTAGATGCATTTGTATAACATATGGCTTGTGGGTAATTTAGTAAATGTCTAACAAAAACCAAACTGCTGCCTCAAACTCAGCCCTTTTCTAACAATCAAAGCACACACATTTTTGGGAAACAGGTATAATAAAGCACACTTTACAGAAAAAATGTGACAATGGGTGCTGTGGAATTGCATATCTTAAAGAAGGAAAATAAATCTTGAATGCCTTCAAGAAACAGAATCAAGTTTCTAAAAAAATCTTACTGACTACCAAGCCAGTTTGCAGACTCAGACGAGTTCTGGTCAAGATTATCCAAGACTTATTTCTCAATGCACTATGTCAATTTGTGAAGCTAATCAAAGTTTGAATCAAATGTATGATACAATCATAAGAAAATGCAAGTTTGTTTTTAAAAAAAAATGTGTTTTGCTTCCTGTGCTAAGGCTCTTCACAATGTATTAGAATCAGCTGCCGTGTTACCAAGTAAACCCTTAAATCTGAATGCTTGGCATGCACAGTAATTTAACTGTAGACTTTTGAATTTAAAAATTAGGCCCCCCATTTATCTTCAAAATGATATCAAAGAAAAGCTTCATGCCCATATTTCAACATTTGGAGGGTCCCTTCCTCTACCAATGACAACCGACCAGATTGTCTTCACCTCTCTCAGGTCATGTAGGCTACAGCACCACAATGTGCCAAATTTACCAGAGAGCATTAAAGAATAAGAATCAACCAAAGTTAATGCAGAAAATTAAACAGAAAATTAGCATTAAAAGTACAACATTTTATAGCACATTTTACATGACACAAGTATCATATAAATATTGGAAACAACAGAAATCCTCACAGATGCTGCAAGACAGTGAGATTGGGTCACACATTGAATAAAACATTCTGCAAGCACTTTCATGTCAGTCCCTGGTGGCTGGGCGGGAAGAAACCCAAAGTGAAACTCGGCTCCACTGAAACAAAGGCCCCGTCAAATCAACAGCTACGTCTAAGCAGATCATGCAGTTAAAAGAACAATCAGTGCAAAGGGAATCTCTTTAACGTGAGCTGCTTTCCTATGTGCTGAGGACAACCAGTGCTGGGAACAGTCACTAATCAGCTGGAAAGTTACTCATAAGAGAGGGTAAGGTGATACTTTTAAAATGATGTGAAAATTTCTAGAACATAGACATAGATTTATGTACTGCTGCACACGTTTCTTCAATATCTGCCTTTTTTGTCAAACTTAAAAGTTTCAGATCAAGCATCTTATAGAATAGAAAAAGATAATTGGTTAAATAAAATACTTTCAAGCAATTCCATTAAGGTGAAACAAATCTATTGAAACAAACATGACTAAGTAACATAGAAATTGCGTCCGCCGTTGCAGTATGATCAAAATGAAAATGGTCAAATATTTTGGTTAGATTTTACTAGCCACACCAAGAATTTTAGATCAGAATACTTCTCTCTTCAGTATATGACATGACCTTTCCCAACAGGGTTCCTGCTCCCTTCCTGTATCCTCTATTTTGCTTTTACAAAATGGCTACTGAAACACACTACACTTTTCTGCAGACAGCTTCCTCAGTGGACAAAGACCTTGCAATTTCCATCCAGAAGTTTTTAGCCATTTAACAGTTTTGTAGTTATTTAGTGAAGAAACATGAAAATTTCAAAAATGTTTGACCAAATCAGAAAAACATTCCTGAAGAGTAACCAGACTTGTTGAAGAAAATGACATTGTTGTGTGAGCACATTTCTGCATAAGAAATTGCAACACATGTCAAAAAACACTACCCTTTGAAAAGAGCTCTGTTAAGTTTGTTTAACGTGGGTCTGGTGTCGAGTTTGGCAGGTGAATGCCTCTCTACAAACAAAATGACAATTTTCTCATCCATCTATGTTAATGAGAAGCAATTTCTCACTGCAAATTTACTTTGTTTTACATGAAACATTAGCTTAGATGAAAACATCTTCTACACTAACAAATATAAAATCATGTTCAACCCACACATTACTCATTGTTAGAAATGCTATTTTCTGGTTAGCTCTTTGATTGGTATAGAACCATAAACTGGTTTAGAACAGAAACAATTCTGGAGAAATTCTAGTTAAGAAAAAAAGAAAGACTTCCTTCATTCCTCTGACGTTTTATTTTCAATGCCATCACAAACAGAAAGCAAACAATAACATACATTGATGCAGGTTCATAAAGAGGTAATGCTAATGCAAGCACAGAGAGAAAGACAATGTGCCAACAAAAACTGAGTTTATCTAAACGATCTTTGTTACTTACCCAAATCTTTGGATCCTTGACTCTCACTGGCCAGCTCACCCATTCGTACCAGAGCATCAAAGTAGCCTTTTGCAGCAAATGTCACATCTGAAGACACAGAATAAATCAGAAGTTAGTTTAAAGGTTTCCAAAAAACAACTGTTCACACTTGAAAAAATGTATATATAGTTGGTTAAATTTATTTTACAAATAGATGCACTAAGTTTGTCTAGGACATTAGCAAACAATGTTTCCATTTATATGTGTAGATATACATTTTTTTCCCTTTTCTTGGTAAAAAAAATGTATATTTTTTTTTACCAAATATAGTAGCTAGGTATTTTGATAAGTTAAAGAGATTACCTTAATTTCAGATTTGATATACGACATATGACCTCTGATTAAACCCAGTTATGAGTAGCTCCCACAGCTGGATTTATTAGAGTCCCATCACTGCATGTCATCCAACCAGCATGTAAGCAGACACTGAATAGTTATTTTAAAGCCTCTAATATTAAACGAGAATGAAATGTCCCTAAACTGGTGGACTGTTTTGTAATTCACTTCATATGGCTACTTGAGAAAAATCAAATAATGATACTATACAAAATGGCAGTTGAAAACTGAACTATGTAATTGTGTTTCAAAATAACTTGAGCATATTATATGGATTTGTCAATGAACAGATTTATATGATCTTCACATGTCGGTCAAAAAGACCCACAGCATGAGCTCTTTTGCTAAATTTCGAGAAGTCAATCTCGAAAACATTAATAAAAGAATCTAGATTATTGTAGCTCAATGTGGTTAGGGTCAGTCAAAAATCAAATATTAATCAATCATTGCGAGTCAAAAATCAAGCCAAGCATTTTTCCTACTGAAGCTCATTTCAATGTGAGAGCAACGGGTAACAAAGAAATCAATAACGGCTCCAAGAAAACATCATAGCTCTATTAAGGAACCACCAATAGTGACTAACCACATGCTGCTACCTGGCATTGTTCTGTCTTCCTTTTCATTTCATCTCACTTGTGAACAGGCAGGCAGACCACTGATTGAAGAATGAATTACAGCATATAGTGTTCCTTACAAAGATTCAAGCTGATGATGGTGAAGATGTGAGTGTAGGGATTTGCCTTCCACTCACATCAGTATGCTAGATTGAACGGAGTTATGTATGAAAAATGATTTTCCTCTCTGGTACTGATTAAAGTTAAAGAGAATTCGAGGATTATAATCCTGTGCTTCTCAAATATTTTACAATTATTACCTCAAGAAATACCATGCTGAAAGGCAATTTAAAACAGCCAACAAAGCTATTTACAAGCTAAGGAAAAAAAAAAATCTACCTTCTATGATGGGTTGAAGAATGGAGTCTCATTGTGGGGCTGATTTTTAGATATTGATATTTCAAAATAGATAAAAAAAACAAAAAACAAAAAAAAGCAATATTCTGAAATGTACAGGTGGCAAAGTCAGTTTTGGACGAGATTTCTCATGAGCTATGTCTTCAAAATTCAATATGCCTGCATCCCATATAAGAGTTAGAGACAGATGTGTTCTGCAAATAATTTATCTCCACTTCTGATTTGTGCTTTATCAAACCATATAGAAGCACAGGATTTTACAAATGTTTTGAGTGAAAATGTCTCAGCAGTGTCTAAAAGTGCAATAAGCTGCAAAATATTAATATTAGCTTGTATTGCTAATAGTAAGGAGCTTAATCACTGAGCAGTAAATCCCACAGTTTTTCTGAAATACAATTGCAACTTGTTGAGATGGATTTTGTGCAATTCCCAGATGAAAGCTCAAGAAGGAAGAGCACTTAATTCTGATTCTCTATTTTCTGCTTCAATTTGTAAGTGTGACAGTTGCAATGGTGGTAGAAGTTTGTTCTGTAACCGATTGGTTCCTGGTCAGTCCATCGCAGTTACCCTGTCTTGTTATTGAGAAAATGCTGCTCAACTTTTATTCAATACTTTACACAAATAAAGTTATTATATTTTTTTGCAGGACTAAATAAAGAGCCAGCATGGATCCAAAACATTAACCAATGGAATCCCCTTGTTGAAAATGTTCATGTACTGCCAAAATGGTCATGCAGGGTAGATGCAAGTTTCTCTGTCTAGCTGTCCAAAGGGGCTTCGCCAATCTCTGGGAATTAATGACCGCTGCTTTTAAAGGTGAATTCAACATCAGTACAGTTGACAGATGTTGTAAGGTTGTGTTGGCTGACGCGACTCTGCAATATTGCTTGGAAATTGGGGGAAGTTTCCTTAGATTGGCAGACTGGGGTGGTGGTCCCCACTCTCATTCTTGTTCATGAATGAGGGAAGAAGGGAGCGGAAGATCAACAGGTGGATTGGCGCAGCGTCTGCTGTGAAGCTGGCGCTGTACCGGTCTGTCGTGGTGAAGAGAGAGCCGAGTCAAAAAATTAGCTCTTGATTTACCGGTCCATCTACGTTCCTACCCTCATCTATGGTCATGAGCTTTGGATTATGACTGAAAGAACGAGATTGCAGATACAAGCGGCCGAAATGGGTTTTCTTCGTACAGTGTCTGGGCTCTTCCTGAGAGATAGGGTGAGAAGCTCAGTCATCCAGGAGGGACTCAGAGTAGAGCTGCTGCTCCTTTACATTGAGAGGAGCTAGTTGAAGTAGCTCAGGTATCTGGTCAAGATGCCTCCTGGACGCCTCCCTGGTGGGGTGTTCCGGGCACGTCCCACCGGAAGGAGCCCCCGGAGAAGAACCAGGACACGGAGGAACTACGTTTCTCGGCTGGCCTGGGAATGCCTGGGAATCCCGGAAGAGTTGGAACAAGTGGCTGGGGAGAGGGAAGTCTGGGCCTCCCTTCTGAAGCTTCTCCTCTCACGATCCGACCCCAGATGAAGCGGAAGAAAATGAATGGGTGGGTTGATGGACATTTGACAGATTGGACCCAAACATGGAGACAGCTGTCAGGTGTAAGACACATTTACAAAAATAGAATGACAGGGACAGGCTAATTCGAATGCACAGATGTAGATACTGCACCACAGAAGAAGTCCTCTAAGCTGATTGACATATGCTAATGTAGGTACCAGTTACAGCTGGACCAGCTGTAGAGGACAGCATGTCTGCTTCCACCTCTGTTGCACCAGGTCATTTTTTAAAGCCAAACAGTTCCTGGGCTTGCCTTGTTGTGGAACATGTGTATGAATGCATGTCAGCTTATGAGAGTATATACTTGCATGCCACAGAGTTAAAACAGATTTCCTCGCAACAGACAGTTTTGCTGATGCCTCAACACCTGAAGAATGTGGAATATCAAGTGTACAATTAAAAGAAGGTTTCACACAGAGCTTGGACCTATATTAACAGCACCACCAAAAAGCGTGGTAAGGGGTCCAAAACAACAGATGGGCAGATGGGATTACCAGAAAAGAGCCTTTTTCAAAGACCCATCACTAAATCTTCACTGTAAAGAACTGTAAACATTTTAGTCAGGACACAGGCCATCCTTGTCTGGTGATGGCCTGACAAGGATGGCCTGTGCAAAGCATATACTGTGCACAAAAGTATATGCTTTGTGCACAGTTTGTGTTTTTTGGACTTGTTAAGAACTATGTAATTAGTTGACTGTCTGTGGGTTGTAAAAAAAAAACAAAAAACTGTAGAGTACACCCACCTTCAGATCTTGTAACCCTACAAATGAAACTCTTTTGGCATTGGTAGTGTTAAATAATTTCAGAGATTGCACCATATGGATAGAAATGTGTCCTCCCAGAGCTGCTAAGTCCCTTGGGTTGAATCAATTCTGCAAAGTGGGTCTTTAATGGCTCAGCGAACCCCTACCAGTCTGTTCCCATGGTATACCACGGTCAGGATTATTTATTGCATGTGTAAGGGAATAGGAGTGCTGGCCTGGGGACGGAGAAAAATCTCTAATGGTTTGGCCAGTTTAACTCGTGAGGACTGGGGTCATGTTAAGGTTCAGGGGTGTTTTGAGGAAAACCTCTTGTAGCACTGTAATCCAAGTACAAATCAAAGATTTCAAAAGACAAAAGGCCATTGTGGAAAGTCTATTGGCAAAAATCTAGCTGCTAATGGAGAGCTGTCCTTTCTTTTGCATTTTGTAGTTTTTTTCCCTTCAAAATTAAAGAATAGAAGAAGTGCATAGTGCAACTCATAAGACCTGGCCACAGAGTATAAGGACAAAGATGATCTAGCTTTCATGAAAAACATGAAGACAGGTAGATGAAGTACAGGAACATGAAGAAAGAATGCGAGAATGCTGTCTTGGCTGAGTGCCTAAACCTGCAGTGAAGCACAGAAAAAAATGAATGAAGGAAAAGAAAGGACTCACTGGCGAGGGCCTTCTCATAGTTCTTCCCCATGGCAACAAAGTTCCGTAAGCAGGGGTTGAACTGCTCCATGATGGTCTGAAAGAAAAACAAAAAGCACCACATTGTTGGAGGATGGAAGCCTCACTTATCACTACAACAGGGTCAAGAGCACAGAGGACGTTTGCCTTTCTCTACTCACTTTGTGTCTTTCACTAGCCTCCTTCCTTCAAATCCACAAAAATCAGTTAAAGAATAAAAACATTTAAACCACAAAAAGTTGGATGTTTAAATTGCATATTAAAAAGGAATTTCCAACTGGAAAGTATGCCATTGTTGTGCAATGTGCAATCTTCACATATTTCAAATAACTTTTTTTCAGGATTTAAAATTCCTTTTAAAAACAAAGAATTGGGATTTCTCAAGTTTAACATAGTATCAAGTAAGACTCTCCTCAACCAACTATAGCTGCATGCTATCCGGTAAATGTGTGTTTAGTGGGTGAAGGTAATCTTCCTAACAACTATGTACTTAATAAGAGTATGTGAGGGGAATCGTCCTGGTACTTTCAAAAAATTGGAAATTTGCTACTTGAAAATATTTGTCACAGCTTAGATGCCAGAGGGTGCCACCCATCACTCACTTAAGTATTGTTGATGAAATGTCTGAAGAAGATTCTGTTCAAAATAACTTGCAAACATCATTTCCCATCGTTCTTGGTGTTATTTACAAGCATATAAAATAAGGAAATTTGTTCACTAGCCAGTTACCTTCTTTTGCTGAGTTTCAATGTAGGTTTTTGCTAGTGCCTGACACCATTTTGTAAAATTATTAAAATAATTATTAATTAATTAAAATAAGCAATTAATTTAGCAGATTACAGTCTAATGCTTCTTCTGTGTTCTGGCTGACACAGACATTTCAGGTTTGTACTTAAAACATAAATTTGTGGTTTTAAATTTGATATTTAATCTATGTGAAATCAAAACCTGCAGGTAAATATATTGTAATTTTGTTTTACAACTGCAACATAGCTGTGTTATTTTAACAGCAGTGATAATAATGCTTGTGTAAGATTTTTGAAAACATGAATGAAATGCAATTGAAAATCACAATGCATGTTTGTGGCTATATGTCAGAGCATTAGTCTATTCCATGTCTATTCACAAGGACATACAAGCTGTGCTAGAGTCTGAGAGTCAAGTGTACAGGGCTCTGTAATGGTATCCACACCCTTTGTCATTTTTCTATTCTTGAACTCTCAACTATGAAATTAAAATGCAACTGCAAAGAAAAAAAGTACAGCACGTTAAATTGGGTATCATGTAGCATAGTGTGTTGTTTTGGAGAAGCAGCATCAACATATTTTTCTGAGGTGTTTAATGTGTTGACTCATCAGCGTTTCTTGATGTGATTGCAATTAGCAATAAATAAAACCTATTTAAAGCAGGAATTGTACACTGCATTGCTGCAGAAAAACTGAACTGCAAAAGAAGTCAGTCTTGATTCCTGAGAAAGGAGAATACCTGACTCTCACTGTATAGTTTCCTGTGCTTCACATCTACCTCTCTTCTCCTTCCTTCTCCTGTGCTCCTCCAGGACTTCTTCCAATTAGTTGGTCCCCAGTCAAACATTCAAGAATAACCCGAGGACAGAAAGACAACCACAATAGTGCTGCAGCAGTAACGGCACCAACATAAACCATCAATACTGTGGGAGAAAGCTTAATCATCTACTTCTTGCCTGAATCCACACAATGGCAAAAAGAATATGCAATGTGCCATCGTTGACAACCTGAAACAATCCCACAAGCTCATCCTCCTTCCTCAGTTAGCTTCAGCACTTTGTTCCTTTGTTTTTTCCTGTCTGTTTTTAATGAGACAATAGTTTGATCAAACCACATGTTTCTGTGTATGCCCACTGTACTGTAAAGAGCTGCAGTTCAGGTGACCTGAGTGCTGCATAACCCACCTACAAAATAAATATCAATGACTCACATTTGAACAACTCAAAAGCTTTCATTAACAGTAAACTACCAACAGTAACTTCTGTTATGTAGGACCCGATTGTGCTCAAATTGAAAGTCTGGACAACACAAGTAGATTAAACTGGTTCACAGAAAGGGGAAGACAATGACCAAAAGAGGTACATGAATAAGTAGTAACTGAAACTGAAATAATAAATGGACTGAAAGGATAATCAAGTAACCATGTTACCTTTAGTAACAAAAATGTTCTGTAAAAATTTACATAATAATTTGATACCTTGAAATTGATCTCTGTGTTTTTAAGAAGCTCCTATATTTAAAGGCACTTTGCCTTCATCATTTCATCATAACAGTGCTTCTCTTGCTGTTTACATCCATTCTAAAGAGTGTTTGACAGTGCTTCTCTTGCTGTTTACATCCATTCTAAAGAGTGTTTGACTGAACCGCAATATGTATGATAACCTTAGCAGATTTACAATTTCACCAGCTGTTAGCTAATTGCTTCTGCCACTTGTCTGGAAGAGCTGAGTGGGGAAGATATGGGTGAAGGATGCTTTGTGAGACCAAAGCTCTGCTGGAGACCAAAAGTGAATAACTGAAACAGACATAGTTTCTCATAGCAAACTAGTTTGTCTCATAATTTGCTATGAGACAAACTGTTAGCAATTCACACCATATTAGAAAGTAAACTTAGCTAAAGCTAAAGTTTGCCTCGCATTTCAGCAAATGGCTCTGAATAAAAACACATTTTGGTATTGTCAATATGCTGATTTATTGAAAGGATATCAATCAAACATGCTTAGAAACTAAAAGCTCTTCTGCTTGATGTTTATGAGGACAAAACATCTGTCTTCATGTTTTGTCCTCATAAACTGCCAAGAAAACTGTAACTGCCAAGAAAACTGGCAAACATAAACTTGAGCATTTAGTCATTGGTAGGTGAGTTTAATGTTGTTGAAGCATAACCTGATTGGGTCATCCTTAACAAGAAAACCAAATTTCTTTCTGTAAAGGCAGTGCTCCAATTAGAATGTTGTCTGTTTCTGCACTAAATAAATATTTTATAGTTTTATGTCACGTTTTTCCTGCTTTGTTTTTTTTTTTTTTTTTTTTTTTTGCTATGGTGTGTTTGCTTTAAGTGGCCTGATTGCATTTGAGCATCTGTGGTTCAAAGTCTAAAGCACTTAGACTTAATGAAACCTGAACTGGATAACTGTATGCTAAGAAACAAAAGCCATTTGTTACTTGTAGAGCTTTCATTATGTTTGTGAAACCAGTGAAAATGGCAATTTTTGACAGTTCTCACAGGCGATAAGTACCAAAGTCCTTAGAGATCAAACGTAAACAAATTATGGCTTTTTTAAAACAAAATTTGCAAAAACAAATAATCTGAAAAAACGTAAGCCCACACAAAACCGTTGATGAATGGAATATAATAGAATTTTAAAATGGTGGTATATTTCAATTTTAAAAATTGAAAAAAAATAAAATAAAAAAAAACCTTTAGTTCAGACTCCACATACATCCCATGTTTTATCACTATATCAATATGTGCAATATTAATATTTCATTGAACTGCCTTAATGGCGACACCATTTATGTAAATACTAGGCATCCAGGCTCTCTATGCCAGTTGAATATGAAAAGGGCAAAATCTGAAATACAACCCATTTTCATTTTTAGTAGTTCTCTGATAAACTCAGTCATTAAAACAATGTGTTTCAGATGGAAGTAATACATTCATGGTTTTGCTCAGAAGTTCAGTAAATTCCTGCCTGGGGTCTACTTTTCACACAAAAGCATAACATTGAGACAGTAAAGTTGTTATTTATTTACTGCAAATCACATCGTCATTGCATGATTTGAATGTTTTCGTATTGTGCAGGTATATTTCCACTGTTGATCACAGAATATTAGCAGATGTAGTCAAGTCATCTATTATTTTGGTAAAAAGGTAGCAATCCAAACATTTGTAATGTACCAACAGTAATTATAAAATGTCAGTGTGGATTGCAAAGATCACATGGTCAAATCTATGAAAACAACTTGCATTTGAGCAACATACCTCACTCGTCTTTTGGGTATTTATGCATCATATTCTGAAACAACTGGAGAACTCCAACTCAGTTGTTAAATATGCTTGTATAAATAGTAAAACTAGTCACGAAAATAAAAAGGTATCCCTTTTTATAGGGGCACTGGAGCCCAAAAAAATAAAATGAATAAATATTATTTGCACAAAAGCACACTTATTTAAGCACCTACATTAATACAAAAACTATATAATAGAATGACGTTGTTTTAAATGGGTGGGAGGATTATATAAAAACACAAGTCCCAGTGAGCCGTCATTACAGCACTCTCTCCCACTGAAGAGGTCAAAGGTAATTGACACAAGCTTAGCTGCTTTTCTTGTACTAACTGCAAACAGGCTTCCTGATCCACAACCAGGGTACAAAAAAACAAAAAAAAAACACTAATAAATGCAACTAGAGGACAAACCTAATCATACAATTACACGATGGCTCAGAGATAAAAAGTATTATATAAGAGACAAAATTACAATGCGCTTTCACATGTCATGCAGAAGAGAAAGGACAAGGAGGCAATCAGTCTTCATTTCCTGTCATTGTTGCTAAATTTGTCATCCCAGTTCTCCTGTACTACATCGTTACCCTAATTGTAGAAGCTAATTGGGAAAATGGGGCCAGGAGACACTTGAGGTTGTATGACATGGTGGAAAGAGGAAAGGAAGTGGGAAAAATTAAGAATTAATGTGGAGTATATTCACTTCCACATCAGTTGTATCATCTTTCATTTTAAAAAGAAAATAAAGAATAATTATGGCTGAAACGTGGTCTCCATCATTCCCGAGAATGAAATTCACTTACTAGAACTAAAGTCAAAAATTAAAGCAAACAATTGAAAGAGGGCAAAGAAATGTGTTCTGCAAAATTAATCAAATGATTGTCTCAGGGCTGAGATGTAAAAAAAAAAAAAAAAAAAAAAAAAAAAAAAGAATAAAGAAAAAGACATTTCAACTAGAAAGACTGTTGATACATGAAAACATTAGGGATAAAGCAATTCAGAGTAAATTAATTTGTAAGAAGCC